CCCGCCATTCTGTGTTTCTGTGATGGCAGGTTCAGTTACAACGCCTCTGAGTGGCTGTGAAGTCCAGGAGCTGACGTTCGCCCGTCGCTGTCGTCCTGCGCGGGGGCCGGTGCAGCTCTGGTCCATGGGGCGGTGGGGTGGCAGGCAGGAGCGCCGGGCTTCGCAGAGGGTCACCTTCAAACTCAGTGGCTCTTAGTCCTGATGCCTTTTACCCGCTAGAATTTTTTTTAAGAAAACCAAAGGAAGGGGGAGGCAGGGAGAAGTCACAACTGATTTTTCCCAAATGTACAAATGGTTTGGGACTGAATTAATTGCAGGGACTGCTTCCGAGACTCCTCCTTCAGTCTGGTTTACGTAGCTCTGGTTTTGTTGTCCCCAGTAGCAGCAGCTTCCCGGGCTTTCTAAAAATTGCAGATTTCAGGCCTCATTTAGCTTTAATTTCCAGCAAGTTTTTACAGTGCAAATGAATTTTTAGATGCTTTTTTCGTTCTTTCCCCTCCTTCCCGATGCCCCATCTGTGTTCACCGAGCGGTGGTGCCGGAGGGGGCTCATCAGCTGTGCTGTGCTGTACGCTCCCTCCTCCTGCTCTGAGACGTTGAGCAGAATATTTGCTTTTGTAATGTTTTTTGTTTCTCCAGGTGAATTAAAACTGCATCCAAAATGAGGTGAGGCTCTGGCTGCTGCTTGGCGGTGCCAGTAGACAGAAATGTGTTGATTTTAAGTGATAACACTGGGAAAAGGAGCCAAGTTCTGTCTCCTGCCCACGTGACTGCTGAGGCCGTGGGAGGTGGCAGCACTGGGATTCGGGTCTGGGCTCTTTGTTCTTTCCCTCTCAGCATTTTTCCATCTGAACCCGAGGAAGAACTTCTTCCCTCTGAGGGTGACGGAGCCCTGGCCCAGGCTGCCCAGAGGGGCTGTGGAGTCTCCTTCTCTGGAGATATCCCAGCCCCGCCTGGCTGCGGTGCTGGGCAGCCTGCTCTGGGTGACCCTGCTTGGGCAGGGGGTTGGGCTGGGTGACCCACAGAGGGCCCTGCCAACCCCTGCCATGCTGGGATTCTGTGATTCATGGGTGGGTGGGTTGCTGGTTGAATTGAACAGCATGGAAACTACCAGCCCTGAAGCCAAGGCTCTGGGACGCCAGAGGCTCGGCTGTGCCGTAGCCCAGCAGCAGGACACGCCTGATGTGTCGGCCATCGGGCAGAGAGGGCTTCAGCCGGGCGGTCAGGCGGCAGCAGAGCCCGGGAGCAGGACCGACGGTTGGAGAGACCGTGGTGGGAGGAGGGGGAAGATGCAAAGGCCGCTGTAGTCACACGGCCACCTCGAGCACGGTCAGACGTGCACTGACAGCAGTCGTCAGCCCCCAGCTTTTCCGCACTGCGGTTTCTGCGGAGCGGGGCTTGCTGCTCCCTGCAGAATCAGAGAATGACAGAATGGTCGGGGTTGGCAGGGCCCTCTGTGGGTCACCCAGCCCAACCCCTGCCCAAGCAGGGTCACCCACAGCAGGCTGAACAGCACCGTGTCCAGGCGGGGGTGGAGTATCTACAGAGAAGGAGCGTCCACAGCGCCCCTCTGGGCAGCCTGGGCCAGGGCTCCGTCACCCTCAGAGGGAAGAAGTTCTTCCTCAGGTTCAGCTGGAGCTTCCTCTGCTTCAGTTTGTGCCCATTAAATGCAGAAATGCGCCGTGGTGCGGGCTGAAGGGAAGGCACCGAGACGAGCCCCGCTCACGGTGTGCGGGGACGGGTTTGCTGTGCAGGGCTGGGCGAGCTTAAAGTGTACAGTGAGTGACACCGGACGGTGCTGCTTTGGCTGACGGTGGGACACGGTGGGGGGCAGCTCGGCGGCCTCGTCTGACCGTAGTGTGAGCATCGCTCGCTTCATGTGCAGCTATGCCGGCTCCGAGCTGAGTGCCTGAGCAGCACCCGCAGAAATTCCCTTCTCCCCTCAGCTGCTCACTGTAAAACACACAGGGAAAAGAAAAGGAAGGCAAGGGGGGAATCTTAATAAGCTTATTTTTCAGAAAAAGAATGCATGGATTGCAATAGAATTAATTATTGCTGAGCTCTGGAGTACCTCTGAGCTTTGTGATGTTTTCTATACCAGAGGCCACTTTGTAGCGTACAGAAGCATCCCAGCTCCCTGCAGCAGCAGTGGGGATCGCAGGGCACAGCTCCAGCTCTGAGCAGGAGTCGAGGAGGACACCGAGGTCCCTGCTCACCAGCCGCCCCAGCACACACACACACAGCACAAATCCTCAGAAGTCTGGATTGCTTCCTCTCGAGGAGGAGCACTGGAGGGGAAGTCTCTTGGCCCCAGCACGTGCAGCCTGCCGTCGTGCCTGCTGCGGGCAGGGGTTTCCGAAAGCCCCCCCGGGCAGCTGCCCTCCCTGTGTGGTCCCTGCAGCGGAGGAGCTGGCCGGGAGCAAAGGCAGGGAGACAGCGTGCCCTTGGCATGGCGGCAGACCCGAGGAAGCAATCAAGGGTTGAAAGGAACTTGTATCTCCCAGTTTAGGGCAAGGAGCTGAGTTCTCAGGCGGGCTCAGGAACACGTTTTCGAGTGCTTGGTTCCCACTGTGCCGCATCCCGTTCGACTTCCAGTGGAGCTCGGAGCCTGCCACGCTGAGCTCGCCCCATCCCACTGCTTGGAAGGTCTTGTGCTGTGGGTGGGCAGCAGCCGCATGGTGGGGATGGAGTTAATTGCACTTTGCAACTCTTTCCGTGGGGTTTCGAACCCAGAAGCCCCGAGGTGGGGGGTTCTGCAGCAGTCTGTGAGCCCCGCTCTTGGCACAGGCGGGAAGACATGGCTGATCGGGGTGTGAAGGGTCTGGGCTCCTGGGCTTGTCTGGGGTGTCTTCTGCAACGCAGCAGAAGCCAAGTCCCAGGCGAGAGGAGCAGGACGAGCCGGCTCGCAGCTCCCCTGCCCTCCGTGCTGCAGCGGAGGGGCAGACCCTCCCTGTCACATCAGCCGCTTCGCCTGAGCATCATCTCCTGAAGGATTTCCCTCGTAAAGAAACAGCAACTCTAAGAAAGATACAGCTGATTTTCACATAATTTTCTTGATTATTCTATTTTAGTTACTTAAATTTAAAGGTGATTGGGTTTGAGAGTCTTAAGGAGACGTGAGTGGGTATGACTATGGGATGTCCAGGCGCTTTAGGATTTATATCCTGTTCAAAAACCAGGGCCAAAACCAGTTTTCTTTTGAGGCCTGTCTTATTTTACATCTCCCACTGAAGCCAAAGAGAATTATTCACCGACTTACTGCTCACTTGCGTCATTGTGTCCTGTTTATATTTGAATTATGATTTTAGAAGTTCAGACGTTTCATCCTCACATTTGTGGCTGCTTTTATATCTAGCTTGTACAGGTTGCAGCTGATGCACACTGCGATCAAACCGTTGCCACGAGCCTCCTGGCAGTCACAAAAGCAATATTTTTGGGTCACCTGTGTGCGTTTGGCCACGTGCGCGGGCGGAGGAGGTTGGGCAGGAGAGAACAGCTGATGTATGGGCAGGCAGAGAAACAGTAATTTAGAGCCTCTTCTGAGCTGATAGAACCTGACTTTTATCCCAGCATCTCTTGGAAATGACACCGTGCATCACGGAGGCGTCGGCTGCGTGAGGAATCTGTAACGAGAGCGGATGGCGGTAGTGCCACGCGGAGGCTCTGCGCACGCAGTCCGGCAGGGTTATTAGTTTCCTCCTGTCAAACAGATCTGCCTCCAACGAGCTCGTACGTTAACGAGCTGTCAGCAAACTGAGCAACCAGGCAGAGGCAGACTTCCCTCCTCGCGTTGGTGGCCCGTGCTCGTTGCTTTCCGGCCGGGGCCCGAAGCCGCGTGTCCCTGCAGAGAATCACAGAATCACAGAATCACAGAATAGTAGGGGTTGGAAGGGACCTCTGTGGGTCATCTAGTCCAACCCCCCTGCCGAAGCAGGGTCACCTACAGCAGGCTGCACAGGATCTTGTCCAGGCGGGTCTGGAATATCTCCAGAGAAGGAGACTCCACAACCTCCCTGGGCAGCCTGTTCCAGTGCTCCGTCACCCTCAGAGGGAAGAAGTTCCTCCTCATGTTCAGACGGAACTTCCTGTGCCTCAGTTTGTGCCCATTGCCCCTTGTCCTGTCACTGGGCACCACTGAAAAGAGCTTGGAAGGGCCGCAGTGCTGGGGGTGCGCGGTGGGGAGGGCTCCCCGGGCAGGGACGGGTCGCCCGGTGCGTGCGCAGAGCGATGCTCTCGCAGAGATGGTGGCACGTTGCTGGGGAGGGGTGGGAGCAAGGAATTAACCTTGTCAAAGATCGCGCAGTCTAAGCCTTCCCTTGATTCATGTGATTTTCTTTTATGTCCTGTAATTTCAGAGTAAATGAGGGCTGGATGCAATTATTGCAGGTGCTTATTTCATCACGACGGGGCTTTGTGCACCACCATTCACTCCGCTGCCCTTTTATTGCTGTGGTGCTGAGGTTCTTTAGACATAAAACTTGGGCACTGACAAACCTATAATTGTGTTGCCGCAGTATTCTCCCTCCGCTGAAAGCAGAATTTGCTGTGGCTGGGCGGCGAGCGGTGCCGCAGGGGAGAGCAGCGCGCTCCCTTGCCTCTCTCGTGCCTTTGAAGTCTGCGAGTTGTTGGCTTCCCGAAGGGGCTGGAGGCAAAGCAGCATGCCCAGCTCCGGGCTCCCAAACTCCTGGAGGATGGAGGGACCCCGGGCTGCTTTATGCAGCTGTGGGACCAGGCGTGAGGTGAAGAGCTGGAATAAGACCTCTGCAGCGAGCGGACCTGAGCTCTCCTGCGGGCAGGAGGAGGTTGCTCCCAGGCTTGGCTGCGGTGGTGGACTGCGGGGTGCCCCAGAGAGGAGCAGGGCAGGGGCTTCGAGGGGCTGCAGGGACGGAGCCTTCTCAATCCCCTTCCAGGGATGCTGCCTGCAGCCCTGGGACCTGCTGCCCGGCAAGGTGGAAGCCGTGCTCTGAGCTGGGGAGTGGTGGCTGGGATCCCGTTGGATCGATGCAGCTGAGTTTCCTCGGAGCAGCCGGTTGTGTCTGAGCGGATCCAAGGGCTTTGCAGCTAAGCTTACTTTTACTGAGAACAGTCAATTGCAGGATGAAAGCCTGATTTTGTGGTTTCGGGGGGGTTATTTGCGTTTTGGTTTTGTGTTTGGTTTTTTTTTTTTTTTAACTTTGCCATTTTGCTTTCTAGTGATATCCTGCGGAAACCCAGGAACCCCCAGCAACGCGAGGGTTCTATTTAACGACGGCTTGATTTTCTCCAGTTCCATCATCTATCAGTGCCGGGAAGGCTATTACTCCACAGGAGTGCTGAGCAGGCACTGCACGGTGAATGGGACGTGGACTGGGACCAGTCCAGAGTGTACAGGTAAGCGCTGGGATGGATTCCTGGAAGCCGAGGTGGGCGATGCTGCCAGGCTCTGGGGACGGGTTGTCAGGGCGTGCTGGACGCTCGCTGTCGATGTGCAGGCACACGTGTGCCGTGCTGGGAAACTCGGCTAAACTGTCTGGTGGCAGCTGGGAGTGCCTAATGGAAAACTCTTGCTTTGGGTTTGTTTTTTTCCGGCTGGATGAAGGGAGCTCTGTAATAACTTTCGTGAGTAGATGTCAGCCGACGCGGAGGGGCTCTGCGGGGCTGCTTCCGAACGTGAGCGTTCCTGCCTGCCTGTGTGCCGGCACGGGGACGTGCATGGGCAGAGCCCCTGCTCGGAAGCCCACGGTGAACGCGGAGCGTTGCTTCACGGCTGCCACCCCAGGTGCCCGCAGCAGGAGCGTGGATGGTGGCAGACAGGGTCTTGCATAGGAGACAGTAACTAGGATAAAGGGGGAGTTGGGTGTGCTGTGGGCAAACTGTCTTCCACCTAGCCCAGATTTGACCCAGGTTGTCTTTAATCTTTAATGTGTGTTAATACTTCTTGCAAGGTCTTAATGTGCCATTACGATCACTGCTCACTCCACTGAGTAGAAGCAAAGTTTCCCCCACGTGCTGTAGCCCAGCCTGCTCCGTAGCTGGCACAGCTCTCCAGATCCTCTGCTCCAGACACTCCCTGCTCCACGATTAGCAGGTTACTTCCTAGGCTGAAAAATGCTCAGGACCATCAGGTCTCCAGTTTTTGCAGCTCCAGAAAACAAGGGGTGGGCAGCCAGAGATGCTTCTTTCTTTTTTCGTTGGCAGTGATCAACTGCGGTGACCCCGGCGTGCCAGCCAACGGCGTTAGGCTGGGCGGTGATTTTACCTACAACAGGACCGTGGTGTTCCACTGCACGCCTGGCTACATGATGGAGTCGGACAGGGCGTCTGCTCTGACCTGCACGAAAGACCGAACCTGGAACGGCACCAAACCTGTCTGCAAGGGTAAGGCTGGTTGCTGTAAATATTGCAGAATGCAAGTTTTACAGGCCAGGAACTTTTTGTAACTTGTAGGCAGGAGCAGCTCCACCCGGGAGTTTCTCAGTCCGGTCATTCCGTCTGTGCCCTGCGTTTATGGCACTTCTGCAATTTTATCAACGTAGCATGAGCACCTTGCTAGGTTTGGTCTATCAGTCATCTCAGTATGCCTGGGAGGGAGGCAACTGCTATTATCCCCGTAGTAGAGAAGGAAGAGTGCACAGAGAGTTAAGTGGCTTACGCTTCAAAAACCAGAGATCAAACTGGAATGAAATATTGTGTTTTGCAAGCACGAACTTTTTGGTATCGTCTAGAAATCTGAAAAATGTTTGTTCCAACTCCTTTCATTATTTCTTAGTTCTGAGATTGCCTCTGTAGTTCAGAGATAGGAAAGAGAAATAACAGAGCAGTCGCAGGACAGGCTAGATCTCTTCTGCAAGTGTTTTACTCACCCACCAAGTGTCGATAAGGCTCGTAGCAGCCCCTGTGTACTTTTTAGCAATCTGGAAAATTCACCTGTCACGATTCTGATATAAATGCAGACCACACAGAAACTTCCAAATACACTCCAGTTCCTTCAGAGGCTGTAAAGAGCAATTCTTACGCTCCTCTCTCGTTCCCTCCACTGAGCTAATGTTGCAGGAATAATACAGAATGTGGCCAGGGTCTCGTTTGGAGGCCAGGCTGATTGCTTGAGCTTAGCATCTTTCCCAGCGCTCCCCTGAGCTGAAAAGCAAAGCACTGCAAAAATGTCGTCTTAAAACACCCTAGAGTGGATGAAATACAGACTGGCTGTTGATTCAGCTGCTGAACTGACACGCAGCCAGGTTGTCCAAAACGTATGAATCTTTCAGGGAATCTTAGATGAGTTTTCGCATTAGGTCAGGCGGGATTCTTACCTTCGGGTGGAAATGAACCAGCGCAGAAATCTGACTTTGAGATTCGGGATTTGTTTAACTCCAGACTTCAAAGTAAAATCCTGGGGTTTACAACTGCGCCCACAGCTGGAAGCGTTTGTACAGCCCCGTGCTAGGCCAGTCCTGGGAGACGCTCTGCGAAGGCGGAATGTAACTTTGATCCTGCCTGAATTTGCTTGTTGATGGAAATAACGATGCTGAGAAGTGCAGAGAACTGAGCGTGCTTTTGTTTCTCCGTCAGCTATCATCTGTAAAGCCCCACAAGCCATCCCCAACGGGAAAGTCGTGGGCTCGGATTTCAGCTGGGGCTCCAGCGTCAGCTATGCCTGCCTGGAGGGCTATCAGCTCTCGCTGCCCGCCGTGCTGACCTGCGAGGGGAACGGCACGTGGAGCGGGGAGATCCCCCAGTGCTTCCGTGAGTAGGCGGCCGTCGGCGTCTTCACGCGTGAGCTGGGGCGGCGGGGGAGCTGTGCTTAAAACCCAGTTGTCTGATGCTCTCTCTCCAACATCCTCTGGTCTCCACGTAGCTGATTCTGGTGTCAGCTCTGCCGTGCCTGGCAGTATTGTAGAGGGTACGGATGGACCGTGCTCACTAAGCGGGAAGTGAAATATCACAGAATCACAGAATGGCAGGGGTTGGAAGGGACCTCTGTGGGTCATCTAGTCCAACCCTCCTGCCGAAGCAGGGTCACCTGCAGCAGGCTGTAGAGGACCTTGTCCAGGCGGGTCTTGAATATCTCCAGAGAAGGAGACTCCACGGCCTCCCTGGGCAGCCTGGGCCAGTGCTCCGTCACCCTCAGAGGGAAGAAATATCTCCTTGCTGGGCTTCCTACCCCTAAGCCCGAGGAAAGGCTTGCATTAACTGAAGTTAGTGGGAGTTTTGCACGCCAGGAGAAAAGCATGATGATGATCGCTGGAGTGCCTGTGGCCAAAAGCCTGGATGCTCTCCCCACCTCCGCCAGCAGCCAAATGGCGGGGAGTCTCGGGTTGCCATCTCTGTAACGAGGAGGCAGGGGTGGCCGTGGGGACACAGGCAGTCACTCCGCCTCCTGTAACGGAGATGGGAGGTCACGTTTGCAACAGGTCTGAGGATCTTGCGTGTTCCTGCCCACCAGGCATCTCTAAAACTGGCTGGTTGTCCCTGTGTCTTCCCAGCGGCTCAGCCTTCTGCAGTCAGGGCTCTTCAAGCTGCCAAAGGCCATAGGGGAAAAACGTTTGGCAAAGAGCAGTGTAAGTCAGGAACGTTTTGTGAAGGCAGAGCTTTGGCTGGGTGGAAACCTGGGTGGTTGATACAATAGCTAATGCAAAAAAAATTAGTTAAATGTCTCATAATGATAAAGGCAGATTTGAGTTTCCTTTCTTGGCTGAATGGCTGGCAGCTGCACAATAGCCATTTTCATATTAAGTCGTACAAAGCCCTCAGTGTGTTCCTTGCACCTTTCCCTGGATCTTGTATAATTAGTGGGCTTTCTGTGTGACATGGAACCGTATAGCAATTTGACATCGTGCAATTAGAGATACATTTTAAAGTGAAGCATGCTGTTAGGAAAAAAAAAAAAAAGAAAAGATGGAGGAGAAGGTGGAAGTTAATTAACAGCAATTGACAAAAAGAGAGAATTACAAGGAAAGTAGCCAGCAACGCCTTCTGCCACTACTAATTCCCTAGTCACTCACCGTGTTTGGTGGAAGGGAGTGGTAGGGTTTGGGCTGTTAATAGACCCATCTTTAGCTTACTAACTCTGCTTGCTCTTGAGGAGGCTCGTGGTAATCCCCTTGTCTCTTTGGCTGTTGCAGCTGTGTTCTGCGGTGACCCGGGGACGCCCGCTCAAGGCAGGAGGGAGGACAGAGGCTTCACGTACCGCTCCTCCGTCTCCTTCTCCTGCTTAGCCCCGCTGGTGCTGGTGGGGTCAGCCCGGAGGTTCTGCCAGTCCGACGGGACGTGGAGCGGGACCCAGCCCAGCTGCATAGGTGAGGGCAGGCTCCTCTGCCTGGCAGCTACAAGCAGAGAGCTTTGAGCTGTCACCTTGCTTTTCTGTTTGTTCCCAGTTGGTTTTCTCTGCTGAGTTTGCAGAAATGAGCACTTTGTTTCCATGAAAATCAGAATGTATAGGGATGATGCTTTTGCTCTGTGCGTACTAGCGGTTGATGAACAACCCACCTCCTTCTCCTGGGGCTTGCTGCTTTGATTCAGCGCCTGTCCCGATCGTTCCTGCCCTGAATGGTGGTCAATACATAGTGCGTCCGAGGAGGAGACTCTCCTCCCTGTTGCTGCTCCTCAGCACCATGCTGGGCTGCCAGTGGGCAGGAGGGAGATGTTCATCTGCAGAACTTCCAGGTTAACGTTTGCAACCTGGGCCGTAAGGCTTGAGGGCTGTGCGAGAGCCTGCGGAGGGTCGCACCACGCAGAGGGCCCCACCACGCAGAGGGCCCCAAGGCTGGTGCTGCCTGGGTTGCGCCCGGGGCTGGGGACTGTGGCCATGCACCGGTGCGATGCGGTGCTTGCGCTGGTGCCCTGTGCCATGCTGACGCTGCAACACCCCTGCCAGCGTCAGATCAGTTGTCTTGGCACAGTGCTGGGCTCTGTGCTGCTTCCAGGCTTCCCCGGGGACCTCCAACCCAGCACGCTGCTCTGGAGATGCACCGTGCCATCAGCAGTGGGACTGGAAATGCAGTCTGACCACAGAGAGCAGCCATGGGCTGCTGTGGAGCGTAGCTCTTCTGCTCACAGGAACTGCAGCAAAACCGAGTTCTGCCTAAAGGGTGCACAGGAGAGCTCTTATGTTCTCTACTGCCTTTGAATTATATCCAGAATGGCAGAATAGCAACTCCTAGAAGTACGAAAGTGCTGTATACAGAGATCAAAATTCTACAAATCGCTTTGCCTAGCTGCAGCGTTGGGATTCAGGCTGAAATTTCCACACGTTTTTCAGGTGCCCATTTTCTGGGGCTTCCAGAACCCTGTGAAACCTCTGGGAGGTAGATAATCACAATTAGTCCCAGCGTTCTTCACCCGTTCAAAACTCTGGCTAGATGCTTGAACTCTAGGGCTCCTGCGGTGATAAACTGCCCGGGCTGCGTGCTGTGACCGTAACTGTCTGCCTGAACACCACCATCATCGCCTTACGTGGGCATCTGGGGCAGAAACAGATCTCAGGCTCTGCTCCGCGGTTTTGAGTCGTTCCAGCTACATCTTAAATGCATCATCACCAGTTACAGTGAGTAAATATACTCGTGGCCTGAACCTCCAGGTTTCCTGTTGATTTCACCGGGAGCTTTCTCGTGTACACAGAGTTGGGAGCACCCGCCTACTGTTGTAAATTTTGGCTTTAAATGCTTCGTCATCGTCTTGCGAATCCTTGCCCGGGATCCTGTCGTACACCCGTGGCACCCAGCCCTGCAGAGCTGTCTGTGGTTGAACCCAGCAAATCCAGCTTTTCCTGACCAAATGTGCTTCAACTTCTCCCCCAAACAAACCATGGGAAGGGAGAAGACTTGTGCATCTACAAAACCTGACCCTGAAATGGCAGTTGGACTCAAGCAGCGGAACCCAAAGCGTTGTACTTATTCGGGTCTCGCCCGTTTCTGAGGTGCGTTAGGTTGCCAGCACCGCAGACGCCCCGGACGCTGCCGGGAGACCGAGGCTCTGCCCTCCACCCTCCGCCATCCATCACCTGCTCCCTCGTCCAGCGACGGGGCTCCTGATTTATTTATTTTAGACACTGCGATTTATCTGGGGGCTTCCATGGAAACTGAATCCGTGATAAATGACAGAAGCTCAGCAGAACCGAATGACGGGAGATGAATTAGCGCGTGTGCCGCAGCCCCAGATCGGCCACGTTTTGTATCCCTTGTTCAGTGACTGACTGCAGCTCCGAGGACCTCGGGACAGCACCAAGCAGCGCAGAATGTTTTGGCATGAAGAGGCCCATCAGTCATATCCTAGGAAATGGAGGCAGAAGAATAAACAACCGTGCCGTTGGGTGCAGAAGTTGAGCTCCGTTGTCCTGCAGGCTGTAGTGACTGGCCACTTCCATCTCACTGTGCTGGGCTGTGGAGACGTGTCTGAGTTGGTTTCTTGTCTTGCACAATCCTGTTAATTAGAGCATTTCAATTAAATGTAGAGAGGGATTTTCTGTGGGGCTTATGGTCCTTCCCACAGCAGCGTTGAGCCTGCTGAAGAAAGAAGGCTGGGAATCCAGCGCAGACCCTCGGCTGATGGCGCTGAGGTCTGCGATGCTCCAGGTCCCTGCTGAGGTCGCTGCCCCTGGCCGGGCGCTGGAGCAGCCCTGTGGCCGCCATTGCAGCTGCGCCCTGCCCTGCCGTCCCGAGGAGCAGGGAACCTGCTGCTGCTGGGCTGCCTTCCGCGCAGGAGCTCCGGTTTGCTTCGCTCCGTTTGGGATGCTGGCATTGATGGGGTGCATCTCTGCCTCAGTTCCCTTGATGCCCAGCGACTGTGGACATGCTGGGAGCAAAAAGAAAGCGATAGAAGAAGTTGGTGGAAGAGCAGCAACAGGTATTCCTCTGAATTGTGTGTTCGTCTGCGGATAGCTTGAGGCCAAACGAGGTGCAAACAGAGGTTGTGTATCTGAGACGCATGAAAATTCCCAGCCCCCGTCGATCGCTGCGACACAGCGAGGTTCCACGGTGAGCGTGCGAGCGAGGGCCGAGCTGAGCGCAGACGGACGAAGGTGCTGACCCGGGGCATGGGAGAGGACGGGCTCGCCGCAGCCCCCTCGCAGGGGCTGGCCCGTGGCACGGCACTGGCGAGGAGCCGGGTGCCTCGCTCGGCGTGTGCGGAGTTGGGGAAGGCAGGAGAGCTGGCCCTGACACGAGGTCTGTGTTGTTATGTTTTCTCCTGGGTGACAGAGTGCCTCTGGTTAGTGTGCGTTGCAGCAGTCAGGGATTTAAGAAACCAAAAACGATCTGTGTATTTCTCCTTGTTGCTGTGTACTCCCGCAGCGAAATATTTCTGTCTCGTTGCGAAGGCGCAGCTCGGTATTTCTGTGTGGAGCAGGGGAAGGCAGAGCTCGGCCGTGGCTTCCACAACCGCTCCTCTAAAACGCCGCCTCTGTT